ATCTTCAAATTTTCAAATTTTAATGCAATTTATATTTCCAGTAAAGTACTGTCTTCCAAACTCCAGACCATATATCCAATTGCTTTCTCTACAGTTTCCCTGAGATAACTAATACACATCTCAAATGTGAATAGCATGTCCAAAACAGAACTGACCTTCACCTCCTCCTCAAACCTGCTGTTACCACAGCCTTCAGGTCTCAGATAGGGCAGATCCATATTTCCAGTTGCTCAGATTTAAAAAAACAAAACACCGTACACTGTCTTTCACCTTTTTCAAGTCCAACTATCCTAGGTCACATTGACTTGTACCAGTTTTAGCCTTTAGTTTTAGTCCTTGATTATTATTATGGATTTATAAAATTTAGAAGCAATCATAAATGTTTATATAATCATATATTTTTACTACTGCGTGTAATATTTAATCCTAATTGGATATGTTTACTATTAAACTAAATAAGGATTATTTTTATATTACTCACCTTTAGTTTGATTGTAAGTAAGTCAGAATTTGAAGACCATTCCAAATCACCACTTAACTACTACTATCTTAGACAACAATAAAATATCTAAATGGTGTTATAGAGAAAGAAAAATTTCTCTAACTTCTTAGATTCAAGACCTTGGGCCTACTAATTAAACTGATACACAATTGATTAACAGAATTAAACATTCATTTCATATGCACAGGATAAGCAGCCACAGAAAAGTGAATACCAGAGTAAAGAGATCACACTGCGATTTAAATCCCATTTTAACAAAGGATGGTAAAGTGAGAGAAGAGGCCAGGAAAAGGGCTTGGGGCTAGGGCGGAAGAGGGTATGTTGTGGGAAGGAAGTTTATGATAAGAAGAATTTGGTAAGGTTTATTATGCCCACTCAGGCCATTTTAGGTAAAAGGAGTTGTCTCTGGAGTTGTTCTCTTCTTTTTGGTATGGGAGAGGATTACTCCTTCACATATGGAAATGTCCTTTACAAATGTAAATTTTCTTTCCAAAAGGGGAATTTATACGCTGCATGTAGGCCGAAAAGGGGAGGATAGGGAGCTTCTGCGATATTTGTTGTTAATTGCCTTTAGTTCAAAAGAATCCTTATGCCAAACCAGCATGTTTAGGGATAGCATATTCTGATCTTTTTCACTATCTAGAAGAGAGAAAAAGAATTATTTAATTTTTATTGTTTTTTATAATATCACTATAAACAAACCAGCAAAAGTGAAATAGGTGTCTGATTTTACTTTAGACATACTGCTTATTAAAATAGTGCTGTATTAACCTTCAGCTTTTACCTAATTCTTTTAATTAGAATTATTTTGGGTAAAACAAAATAATTATTTAGCAATTTAAGGCCAAAGTAAATTATGTTATGAAGATGATTACTTAGACATTTAATAGAAGCATAATATGGACTTAATGCAGGACTATTGAATAAATAATCAGTATTTGTCTTGGGATGGAAAATGATATAGACTGCTGGACCACTTGGCAGCCGCCAACTCTTCTATCACCACTCCTTTATACTTGTCTAGGATTTTCATCATTGACTATATTAAAAAAATCTTTTTACCTCAGTGCCACAGGCCTCATAAAGTACTTTACCTTGAACCAGCTGTAAGGGATCTCATAGTTTGAGGGAGAGACCATGATCTCTTCTGAGAAATGGTGAGGGACCCATTCTAATGTGTCTGAGGCTTTAATATTACATTACATAGAAGTTAACTTTGACTTCTATTTTCAAAAGTGATTTTTAGCTATATACTGCAGGAATGCATTTGTCTTTAAAAGGTATACTAAAAATAAGATTAAATTCCCTTTTATGCTCTCTCATGCCTTATATGGTCAGTTCCCCTATTTCACTAGAGGTAACTATTTGAATTTGGTATACACACTTTCACCTCTTTGTCTCTCTGATATATCATGTTTATGTGCTTTTTCCTAAGTGGTGACATATTCTCCTTATTCCACAACTTATTTTTGTATTTAGTGACTGTATGTAGTATTTAGTAATTAGTCCCTATACATCTGCATCATTCCTTCAAATTGTGCATTTTATACTATAAGCAGTTTATTTACTGGTATGCATGTATTTCCATTTTTAAAATGTCTGTGAACAGTGCTGAAGTAAACATACATGTTTTCATGTGTACATGTGCAGGTGTTCCTCTAGAATAAAAACAGCATTTGTACCTTTATAGTTTGAACAGATAAAGCTAAATTATTTCTCTGAGGAACATTTTATTATATAATACTATACAAACTTAATTCTTTAAGACCTAAACATTGAATTTTTATCTCAAAGTAAAGATGTACTGTTAAGCAAATACATGACCCCATTCTTATAAGCTGTGAACCTAAAAATAGAATAACTACTAGCTGTTGGGGCCAACTGGGGTATTTTTTATATAGTGAGTTTTATGAACAGAGAAATTATGGAACACAACCAAATTAGGTAGAGTGTATTGTGGGAAGATAAAGAACTGCAGCCTAAGAAGAAAATAGAAGATTCCTGAAGGATGTATTATTTAAGAATCATTTTAGGAAAAGGTGAAATCATGGCTTCTTACAGATAGGAAAATGAACAAGTATTAAAAATTTATTTCATTCATGAGATAAGAGACAACCAGGCAGATTCTGTAATTAGTTGAAAGGAAAAGTCAAAGCAACACAAATTATATGGACTCAAAGGATATTGAAATGAATCGTACAAAAAGACAAAATTAGTTTCTTCACTAGGCATGGCATAGGGAATTGCCATCTTCAATTAAATTACTACCATGCAGGAAAAAACTTAGGTATTAATTGCCGACAATTAGAGAGTTCCTAAATAACCCACAGACAGTTTACTGGGCTAGAATCTGATCTGCCAGGAGGTTATGCCATAGATGATGCATAGTTTTTAATTGAAACACAATTTTTTTTCTGTACTATGAATAAATATCTCAAGTTTGCTAAAAGAGCGCCAGATCTGGAGGACCAATGGATATGTAACTCAGACTTGGCAGCCGGGCTAGGTGCAGAAGCAAGGGACATGATTGTTGAATAGTTTAGGTAGGCTTTGAAGTTGCTTTGGGAACTGCTGTTATTCAGGCTAATTCAGATGAGCCAATGTCAAACTGACTGAGAGTTTGAGCCTTTTTTGCTATACCTAAGAATTTTAGATTTCCTTTGAGCTCTCCCATTTGAACAAGTCACCTTGAAAAATAACATCTCTAACACTTGGTTTGTTCACTACCGTATTACCTAGCAATAGTTCTAGGGGGTATATATCCAAAGAAATGAAACCAGTATGTGAAAAAAATATCTGCACACTGGTGTTCATGGCATCATTATTTCTAATAGCCAAGATACAGAATCGATGTGAGTGTACTTAAGTGAATTAATGGACAAATAAAATGTATATATGCATAATGAAATACTGTGTATTCCATTCCAATATACAATGAAATATTGTATATTCCAAATTGAGTACAGTTTAAAAAAGAAGGAAATTTATCATTTACAGCAACATGGATGGACCCAGAGGACATTGTATTACTGAAAGACACATACTATATAATGTCATTTCCATGTGGAATCTGAAAAAGTTTAACTTAGAGAAATAGAGTAAAATAGTAATTACCAGTGGCTGGAGTTAGAATGGTAGTTGGGGAAGTACTGGTTAAAGGACACAAAATTTCTGTTGGATAGGAAGAATGAGGCAAGAGATCTATTATACAATATGGTGATATAGTTAATAACAGTATATCATATTTTTGATATTTACTAAGAGAAGATTCTAAGTGTTCTGGCCAAAAAAGTATGTGAGGTAATACATGTGTTTATTAAATTGACAATTGCATAGTGTATACATGTATCAAAAAATAATGGTACATGTAATACATATACATATGTATGCATAATATACATATGTTATACAAATAAATATGGTTTTTATTTTTTAATTTAAAATACATAAATAAAAATAGATTACTTTGTAACAAAAATAAGTAAAGAATAATAACACTTATAAAAAGAAAATGGTATCATTCCTGTGTTATTATGAGGATTGAATGATCTTTAAATGTAACTAAAACATAACAAATAGCATGAGCTCATTAAATGTAACCCATGGTGTCACCCAGGTACCTCCTAGGGGAAAGTTTTTTGCTTCTGAAATTTTGCAGTTTGAACTGGCTTCTTGTCACTCAGGATCCAGTTTAACTGTCATCTCAGATCAACCTTTCCTGGCTACCCAATTTAAATCTCTCTATTTCTTTTTGTTACTCATTCTTACTTTTGTTACAGTACTTATTGTGATATTTTTTTCCATTATTTTCTTTTTAAAACTTACTTGTTTTTTTGCCAGTAGAATGTAGTTCCAAAACAGTAATGGCAGTTTTGGTCTTATTCAGTGATGTATGCACTACAAGTAAGAAAGTACCTATCACATATTTGCTTCTCAATAAATATTTTTTTAGTGAATGAGGCAAATGCCGTCTGTCCTCCTTCTAGTCAGTAAGAATTCCTCTGAGACTTTTCTTAGCTATAGGCAGCACACATGCCATGACAAACTAGGGGAAGATAGACTCTGGTGAAGCAAGAGCTGATGGGAAAACAGAAGGACAAAATTGTATTGAGATGTTAATAGAATGGAGAATGTGGAGTAACAGGAAAGGAGAGGAATAGAGGAGGATGGAAGAGAAACCCACAATCTGTTGAGACATGATTGTGGCATTAAGTTTTTGGATGTTTTATTTTACTCTTTCAATAAAGTGATGTAGATATCTTTTCCAGTGCATTACACTTGCAGAAATAAAAGATAGTTTAGTTCAATTCTTCAGGGATAACACAACATTTACCAGACTAAATGGCATGATCTGCTGGTAGAACTGAGACTTCATGCATTGATCTCTAATCTTATTCAATTTTTTCTTAATCTGTGCTTTAGTTTATCACATATACAAAATGTTGTCTGCACATTTGCATTTTTACAACTATATATTTTTTTCTTCTTTTTCCCATAGGTAGAAAACAGACCAAAGTATTATGGAAGAGAGTAAGTATGGATTATCAAGAAACATTTGTAGATTGGTATATGTAAAAGACATGTTTAATATATGCTGTGATTAAACATACAGCAAGATAAAGGAAGTATTCAAGTTTAGAGGGATAAGATTTTCTTTTTTCCAGGTACTGATGTAATTATTCTAATTGGTAAAAAGATAGAGACAATAAAGACAAGAAAAGAGCATGGGAAAATGTATATGCAATAATGTTGAAGGTGCTGGCCACTTAAGTGAATAATGCTAGATGTATATGAAGAAAATGTGTATATTTGTGTGTGTATGTATTCGATAAATACACATATACACATTTTTCTACATACAGTGGGATACGGATGATTTATTTCATATCTATACCCTTTTTCAAGTTTTATGTAAGTAGTATGTACTCTCTACTACCAAGGAAAAAGAAGTAATTAATGCTACCCAGAAACAACAATTTTGTTTTTTTGTGGTGCTGGGATTGAGCCTCAGGGCCTTTAAACTGAGTGACATCCCTACCCATTTTTTATTTTATTCTTATTATTTTGGGGATAGAGCCAAACCTTGTTCAGCCAGGGTTTCACTATGTAGTTCAGGCTGGTCTTGAACTCATTATGTAGTCTAGGCTGGCCTCAAACTCGTGGCAATCCTCCTGCCGCAGCCTCCTAAGTGCTGGGACTATAGGCATCCCCCATCCCGCCAGGGTTTTTTTTTTCCTTTCTTTTTTCTTAAAATATTTTAAAATTTTGAGATATGGCCTCACTGAGTTACTAAGTTGGTCAGGCTCGTCTTAAAGTTGTGATTCTCCTGCTTTGGCATCTCACAAAGTTTTTGGATTATAGGCATGTACCACCATGCTTACTTCTGCAAAACAACTGTTAAGATTTTAAACAAAACAAAACAAAGATTTAAAAGTATTTCCTTCTGAAGAGTTATTTCCTCAATGTTTTATCTTTAAAAGTGAGATATGGTACATTCGTAGCGTAATTTTTCCATTTAATATTGTAATGAGTATTGCAGTACTTTTTAAAATTTGACTTTATTTGCATTTCCACAGTTGGGCAATAGGTTGTGTCCCAAAAATGGTTCAGAATGCTGCTGTAATAGTTTCTAGTTAGCACTTTGGAGAAAAATCCCTATATTCCCCAAGTGAAATCATTTTTTCATGTTTTGAGATAAACTATAATATATATGACAAATGTTTTTAAATTGTTTAAAATTCCAAGTAAATTTTCAAGGCACTTGAGAATGGACCACAGGCACCTACCTATGATTTGGGAGGATAGTGATTCCAAAGTTGAGAAACACTGGTTTTCTTTATAATTGTATCATAATTTATAATATCACCCTCTGCTTTTGTCAGTTAAGTTTCTTTTAAACCATTCAAATTTGAGTGTCCTCATCAGAAATGCTTGGAACCAGAAGTGTATCAGATTTTGAGCAGTTCAGGTTTTGGAGTTTTGAATTAGGGATGCTCAATCTCTACTATTAAAAGTGATGTCATAAGAAACATCTTGGTGTAAGAAATTTTTGGGTGTAAGAAACAATAAGTCAACTAATATGAATAATTTTAAAGTTTTTTACAAAAATTTGTTTCTTGGGTTTGATTTTCTCTTAAGATAATTGAGGTGTTTTTTTTTTTAAACAGACAGATGCATTTTTCCAAGTGTATTAGTTGCTGTCATATAAACTTAAGTATATACCAATATACTAATTTAATGTATGTGTCACTGTAAGGGATATCTTGCTCCCAGCAGCTTCAGACTGTTAGACTCTGGACTTAATTCAAAACTACTGAGGATTTTATGGAGATAAAAAATTCAGGAGCCCATTGTAAACTTAGTTCTAATTGTCATGCTTTGAACATATTTACCATGAACTGTTTTAATGCTCGCAGACAACTGAATCATGCCCATAAGGAAAAACTCCTGAGAATTGCCACTTAGCCCTAGTAAAGTTTCTAAATTACGAAGGTGCCATTTCAGGGCATTTAATATTTATCATTCTAAATTCAGGTGACTGTTTCTTTTGTACCAGTGGAAGCTACAGTGTTTCTCTAGAGCACTAAGTCAGTGTAGTTATTGCAGGGGATGGGACACTTTCCCTCTACCCATTTAGGTTTGATAGCTGAGTCTGTGAAATAAACTAACAGCAGGAAGATTCACAGGAGACAAAGTCTATATATTATTAATTTTGATACAGTGTGTACAAGCCATCACAGAAAAATAAGGTGAATACCTAATGTAATCTGAGAGTTTGTATACTGTGTTAATATGAGAAGGAGATGGAAGATCTAGGTAATTTAGAGTGTAAATGATTTTTAGGAAAAATGAAATCACTTAAAAATATAAATGGGAGATATGCTTAGTTTGTGACAAAGTCTGTCTGGGTGTAATGTCGACTTTTAGTCTTCTCTCCTATGATAAGTTGGTCTTCAGTCTTCCAGGTTCATGAAACTCCTGGGGAGGGGATTGATGGCATTGAGTTCCTTTTGAAGGAAGTGTCTTTAGGTGGGTAAAGGAAGTTCAGAGAAACTCTTCTTGCCCTGACTGTTTTTCAAATGCCTTCAGTTCAAAATAATACACTAAAATAGCATATTTTAGGCTGACATGTCCTGAATTCTTTCATTATCTTTGAGTTACTAAAAGGGCATGAAAAGGGCCGGTGATTTAGCTCAGTGGTTCTGCTGCCTGCCTTGCAAGTGCAAAGACCAGAGTTCGATTCCCAGTACCAAAAAAAAAAGGGAGGCATGATATATATGTAAGTTCTTTGAATATTATAAGTCACCATACAAATGTAAGGTGGTTTTGGGTTTTTTTGTTTCATATTTTTAGTATTTGTTACCACTGACATTTTTCTATTTCAGCATTTTGTGTAAGGAATATGTTATTTATATTTATTCCTTTTTAAAATCAATGACAAAGTTTTGACAAGTTAAAGCAAGTATTGCAATTGTTTGCATGGTTTGAGTATTCAGTAATGCAGATTATGCACATTATTGGGCAGTCAAGCCAATTAAGGGCAACCTGGGTGCTGGCAAATTGCCAGCACAGACTCCAGTCAAAATTTTGGAGCAATGCCACTAAAGGGAAGAAAAAAATGGGATGAATTTCTGTATGCGTGCGTGTGCGTGTGTGTGTGTGTGTGTGTGTGTGTATGTGTATGTGTGTGTATATATTTAGCAAGTCCATATTATCAAATAGCTTCATAAGAAAGGATTGATCTCTCGAGAAGGGCTGATCTTCCCCCAGATATATGTGAATTTTACTTCATGCTTGGTGACCGGATTCCATAGCTACTTCAGTGCTGTTCTTATCACATAAGAAGCTGGCCAGGGGCCAGGCCCAGAGCAGCACGTGCATAGTTAAATCCAAGTGCTTTCCTTTGATTCTGTGGCAGTATTTTGTTTAGAAAATAGCTGAAGGTGGGTTGTTGCTGTTGTTGTTTTTTTTGTCCTGTTCTATTGAAAGAAAATGGAAAGCATACCATTTCTGAATTGGCTTTGTTTCTTAGGTTTCATGGCATGATCTCCCGAGAAGCAGCTGACCAGCTCTTGAGTGTGGCTGAGGGGAGTTACCTCATTCGAGAGAGTCAGAGGCAACCAGGAACCTACACTTTGGCTTTAAGGTTGGTCAGGGACCTGCAGTTATAACTGTGCTTCATTTAAAACTCTATTAATAGAGAGCTTTAAAATGTAAAAGTATCCAGCATGTAATTGAATTGGTTCTTAGTTTTCTTGGGACCTAATTACCATTTTAATAGCTTTGAGACCCTTTAAAAAAATTCCTCATGAATGGTAGTACTCAGTAATTAAAAATTAAAGAAACTTCTGAAACATTTTTCTTGTAGCTGCTTCCTTCCATTCCATCTTACCCATTCTATCCTGTTGTCTTGCTATGTCAGCTTCCATCTATTTCTTGAATAAGGAAAGAGGCTAAAAGAAAAGATGTTTGTAGTTCATAAGGCTAAAGCCAATGTCATTTCTCTTAGGTTGGAGTTTGGTTAAAGTAGCTTTTCTTGGGAGCTTTTGGTTCTTCCTGAACTTTGCCCAGTGTTTTGCCTGTCCTTAGTTTATAATATAGCACTCAGAAACAAGTACTTCCATCAACACTGTAATATAACCCAATAATAAGATCAGTAATACAGTAGAATGTTTATCCTTTGTGCCTACCCCAGGCTAGGCCTCTGACCTCGTTTAACCCTTACAATAAGTCTGTGTACTCTTATTCTGCTCACTTTACAGATGAGGATGCAGAAGGCCTGGAGCTTGAGTAACAGGCCAGCCAGAGTCACACAGAAGTTGTACAGCTCATATTTGAATCGAGTCTGTCTTCAGAGCTTGAGCTTTTTTTTTCACTACAGGGGATTGAACCCAGGGCCTTCATCCTGAGCTACATCCCTGCCCATTTCATTTTAGATGCACAGCATGGGCTTGAATTTAAGATCCTGCTGGAATTCCTGCTGGAATTACAGGCATGTGCAGCACACCCTGGCTAGAGTGTGACCTTTTAATCACTGTATATTCTTGTCTCTCCACAGATTTAGAATAATTAGCTATTTTTTAATTCATTTTCTGATGTGTTCATTTGTTCGTACACTCATCCATTCTTTGGAAAGGACTAAAAAATAGCAGCTTCTAAAGAAAGCTGTCAAAGATAATGACATTTCTTTTGGTAGCTATAGATGGAAGATAGAACGAGGGTGTTAGTGCTTAGGATCAATATGTTTGACTTTTTCTCCAACCACTTGTGTGAGTGATCAAGGACTTCATTCCTGTCTACAAGATTTAACATTAATCTTTCTGATAAATGCAGTGATAGGATTCAGTATTTTTTCATACTGAATTTTGAGTTAATTTCATTATTGGAGAATAGAGGTTGTTATAGAAATTTATGAAAATTTGCTTTTGATGGCCAATTATAAAGTATAAATTTCCCTAAAGTTACTTAATTATATTGTCTTTCGGGCAATCAAATACCTATTCATTTAGCCACTGTTTGATTTAGAAAACCAGTTGGAGAAATTACAGAATTTCTTCAAGTCAGTTGATCTTTTTGCTCTTACCATTTTATACTAGAACCATTACATTTCCAAATAGTATCGTCATCGATTGTCGGGGGTAAATAAGCCTTGATCTAAAGACTGATCAGAGTAAGAAAGAAAGAGCTTGGATAAAATAAGAGACAGAAATCTGCATAATTCTCTTTTCTATTTTACTTGGTTATAGTTTCCTTTACCTTTCCACAAGATAGTGTAGAAATTATAAAGCCTCAATTTGAACTTAGTTTTGCCTCATTGCAAAGTACCCCCTGTTGCCTCTCATCACTTAGCTGTCAGGTAGTTTTCATTGGCTGACACCAAAAAATATTCAAAGATTTGGTTTGGGATAGAGGAGCAACCAGACCTTTGAAGGCCTTCCTCTTTCCCAGCCTCTGGCCCTCTCATTCTACTATACTTTAAGTTTATAATCACTTTCCATCCATATGGCCCAGTTAATCTAGAATAGAAATTAAACATTAGATTGATGCAGGTGGTTGTAATTTATAGGTATGAAGGAATATTCAGTCTTTCCTTTGTTATTGAAAGTCACCATAAACTGTTACTTGAAAAATAAATACTAAGAAGGGCTGTAGGGGGAGGTAGGAAGAGGAATATGTGAATATGCATTGTGAGTAATTTAGGTGCTAAAGTGTAATTGACGTGTCCAGGGAATTGTTAAGCAGAAATTGAAATAGAGGTTATATTTATATGGGTATTCTTTCTTAACCTCTAACTTCAGCTAATGATTCTCCCAATCCGCCTCAGTTTGTTTTGGTTTTAGCATAACGTATGATCCATTTGGAGTAAACAGTTTGAGTAGTTTATAGCCATCTGTGTTCATTATGCACTTACTGTGTTAACCAAGGGCTCTAAAATTAGAAATAAGTCTTGAACTCAGTGGTCTCCATAGGCATTTCAAAGCCAGTATGTCCAAAACTGAACTCATCACTTTTCTGTCCTAATATCCTATAATAGATGTAGTTCCTTTATTAGGTGGTGCCTAGACTGTTAGTCTGTTTCCTAAGACTGATACCAAGAAATCATTTTTATTGTTCTCTTAGGTTTGTAATCCCTGGCAATATTTATGTAGAGCCCCTACTTTACATTATGTCACACACTATATCCCATAGCAAATAGATACTTTTATTTGCTGTTAAAATTGGGTAATTTTTTTAATATAAATTGCTGTTGAGATTAGCTTTGTAGCTTTCCTTTTGTGTTCTGGACCCATTCATTTCTTTTTACATTTCATCGTTTTGTTTTTTTTTTTGGTACTGGGCATTGAACTTGGGTCCTTGCACTTGTGCAGCAGGCGGCAAAACCACTGAGCTAAATCCCCCGTCCCATTTCATACTTTTTCATAGGTCTTGAAAGTCTGTGTTATCTAGCAGGAGAACTGTTTTTTTGTTTTGTTTTCTTTTGTTTTGGTTAGCAATGCTGGAGATTGAACCCGGGGTCTTTACACTGAGCTATATCTCTATCCCTTTTTTTATTTTTTAATTTAACTAAATTGAACTTGTGATCCTCCTGCCTCAACCTCCTGGAGTGCTCAGAACAGGCATGTGTTTGCTCATCTCATATAGTTGAGCCCGGCAATTCTATTTCTTAAGTATTTCTTTATATTTCTCCTCCTTTTTAAGTCTAAGCCACTCCTTGGACAATTCATTAAGAAATTTCCCCATGGTCAGCTTTGTCCTTTCTATCTTCTGTAGTATCATAAATGTTCATCTTAAAATCTGTTGCAGGTGCCAGGGACAGAGGTATATATACCTGTAGTCCCAGTTAATTAGGAGGCTGAGGCAACATAGCAGGGCCCCGCCTTAAAAAACAAAAACAAAAACAAAAAGCTAATGCAATGAGTTGAGCACAAGGTTTCAAAAATCATCCTTCTTTCTCATTGGCATCTTCCCTGCACTTCCTGATCTTTACTGTGTAATATATGGTGTTGTTTAGGGCAGTATGCAGTCTGGTGTAGGCTGTACATGATCACTGCACCAGTTTCCTGTGGTCAAGAAAGAGGCACTCATGCATACGTGGCCTGTCATCTATGAGGGAGATCTTTCTTTCATCTTCAGTTCCCTCTTTTTCCTTGACCTGAATTTTAGGCCAGGCCATATCTGGCTTTTCTACCCCTGCTCATGTTGATTCCTGATTTAGGAGAAATGGTGCTCAGTGAAAGTTTGTCCTACTTCTAGGGGGTGTGGATAGACATCTGCATGTTTGGAGCGAGCAGCTGGAGAAGGTGCGGCCCAGGCACTCACTTGTGACTTATCACATGTTTCAAGGTGACTTTGGGGTTTTCTGTCTGTTGATTTTGACATTTGGACAGATATAGTTTAAGGAAAAATCATGGCAAATATCAGTTACAAGTAACCTCATGGACAAAGTTTGGTTGAAAACATTTTCCTTATGGTTTTCATAGTCTCGGAGCTAATTGTTTAAAAAATTTTTTTTTTTGTTTGTTGTATTTTGTTTGTTTGGCTTTGAGACAGGAGAAGTTCAGGCTGGCCCTGAACTCAACAGTGATCCTCCTGCCTCAGCCTCCCAAGCGCTGGGATTACCAGCATGTGCTACCATGCCCAGCTAAAAATATATTTTATACAGCACTGGTTAACTTTTTTTCCACAGAAAAAACATTGTTAAGTTCATATTAGACATTTTATTTTGGCTTGTCTTCCAGTTCACCAGTCTTGTCTTCTGCTTTTTTTCATCTGTTTTTGCAGAGCTAGAAGCTGAACCCAGGGCCTCTTGAATGCTGGGCATTCTACTACTGAGCTACATGCCTTGCCCTCTGCTGTTGTTAAACCTACTATTAAGTTCCCAGTTTTAGATGCTATGTTATTTAGTTCCAGAACTTTTCATTTGCTTCTTGGAAATATGAAATAAGGAGTAGAAGGCTTGTGGGGAGCTAATATGAGTGGTCATATGAAATGACCATTTTAGCATTTGGCCTCTATTTTCTCATTTTTGATACTGTACCTGATAAAAATCTAAACAATTTCTGGCTATGCATGGAATCACAGTTCGTTCAGAACTAATTTTTTCATCATTTTTATCTGGAAATTTAATGTTTTTTTAAAAATTGGAATTTTAAATGTAAATGTAAGGTTTTTACTAACTCAACAAATTTGTTAGTGATTTTAATCTTAATGGTTGTTTACTTTTTCTGCTTTAAATACCAAAAATATATAAATAGCTGAAGTTATAGCTGAACATTAGGTTCTCAGTATTGTTCCTCCTGAGTTAACCATTTAATGTAGTTATCCATTTGTGTAGTTACCCATTTACTTGGGTTCTCTCCAAGAATTTTCTTGGAAATATAAAAAACATTTCTTTATATTAATGTTACACATTTAAATGACAGAGAACTAAAGTTATGCATAATTTTGATGTATTATTGGGGTTGCTGTCAATGTTGGTTCTTTTTGATATAAAATACCCCTTTTTTCTAGGGGCTTGAACTACTAAGTTTATTTCTTTTTACTGAGAAGAAAGATAAAATCTTAAGTATATATTTTCCAAAAACTAGGGAAAAGAGCTAGAAGGAAATATTTAAAACAATCACTTAAAAAGGAATCTTTTCAATG